GTAGACCTATATAAATTTCTATTATTGAAGATTTTTGTGTAACAAACTGTGCTGATCATTTTATTGTCTATAATAAATCAAACTTAATATAACTATACAGTACTAATACAATACTATAAGTTATTTTTCAATTAGCTTCTTAAAATATAATATAGCTTGGGCTTCTTCAAATACTTTTTGATCTTCATAAAGAGTATTTTGAGAACTTTGTCTATAAATATGTGTTTCTTTAAATTTTTCTTAAAATTTTTTTTTATTAAAATTAGTTTCAGTTAATCTAAGTTTTAATTCTTTAAGTTTAGGAATTATATTTAAATGTATTTGTATATCTAACTTATTAAACAAGCCTTCGACTTGCTGTTGATGAATAATAAGAGAATATATCTTTGTTTTTACAAATTCATAAATGCATAGATATAAATTTAATGCTGTATTTTCAGATTTACAAAATTATTTAAATTCTTCAAAAAATTTTTCATCTTGTATTAATAAATTATATAAACCAAAATCTTTAGTATTTGAATTATCAATATCTTGTTGTAATTTATTAGCAAATTTTATTTTAGTTTGATTTGGAATTGATTTCTATGATTTTTTTTAAAAATAATATAATGAAAACTTCCTGCAAATAATTGTTTTGAATCTCCCCCAAGTCAGTAAATAAATAAAGATAAATAACACCAAGAATTAAACCATTTTATAAATGATTCAACAGTTTTTTGCATTCCTTTTTCCAAGTTATCAAAAATAATACCAAATTGTTCTGTATCTACATGTTCTAATATTTCTAATAACTTATTTTCAAAAAATAAATGAAAATTTTCTTTAATATTATTTAAATAACTCAACCATAATGATACTTTATCTAGCATTTCATGAATATGAAATCCAAAAGGAAGTTTCTTAAAATGATTGTTATTAAAAATTCAAGGTATTGGATCTTGTTCATTTATAAATTATATTAATGAATAGTAAAAATATATTCCAAATCGTACTAAACATTTAACTTGAAAATTAAGTTTTGGATCTTTTATCTATTGTAAAAAAAGAATCCATTTATCAAGATATGCACAAGGAGGTTTATGAAGATTTTCTAAAGATTTAATAAACCATTTAGCAAACTCTAAATAATATTAACATCTTTCTAAATATTGTTGAGTTGAAAGCAACTCATAACTGCAATATTCACAAATAAGTTTTTGATATTTATTAAAATGTAATCCAAAATAATTAAAATAAAGATCTTGAATTTTTTTTGAACTTATACCAAGTGCTTGATCTTTATCATTAGAATCATATTCATTATATAATTCCCAAACAAGAAAATATAAATTATATAGATGTGCTACTTTTGAAAATCTTATCAAAGAAGGAAGTTTACCAAATGATACTTGTTCAAAATTATTAAAAACAATATGTATAGTATATAATCCACAGCCAATTCTAGTAATATCAGACTTGGTTTCTTTATTAAAAAAAGTTATGATACTATTTTTGTTTTCTACTATATAAGCTGTATTGTCAAATAACCAAACTGAACATTTATTAGTACTAATTGCTGATTCTTTTAGTGTTAATTAAACTGCAGCTGATACTGATTGTCTATTATATTTGTCAAGCATATGAAGATAAATTATTGTTACTAATGGTTTGTTTTGTATATAACTCCAAAACATAAAACATATTACAAAATTTTTAACTTTTTCACATTTAGATTCATCTATCATTATACTATAATTTAAAGAATTTTGAATCTTTGAAAGAAATAAATCTGTATAAAAAGCAAAAATATCTTTATATTATATAGAAAGTAAATTATAAGAAAACTAAGTTTTTGGCTATTCTCTAGTCAAAAACTCATATACTAGTTTCATACAATTTGTAGTTGATCACATTAAAATTTGTCCTATTTGTGATATTTGTGATGCTAACCAAATAGTATTTGATATATATTCTTGTTCATTTGTCTTAAAAATTGATTTAATATGTTTTTTAAATATTTTAGAAGATATTGAAGTTGATCTTCAAACTATTGAATGAATTTCTGAAACACAATATGATTTTTGTTCTTGAATGTAACATAAAGATGATCCATAAAATTTAGTTTTATGAATTAATCTATTATTTTGATATTCTAATTTTCAAATTCTTTTTTTAAGTTCTATATTTGCTTTTTTTAATGATTCTATTAATGTAGTTTTGTATAGAATATTATTAATAGATTTTAATACTTTATGCTATAAATATGATGAAAGAATTTCTCTTTTGTGTTGATCTTTAGGATATCATATAGTTTTAAATAAGTAATATGTATAAAAACATTGTTTATTTGATAGTTGTTTAATAGTTTCAAACATAAGTTCCTCTTTAAAATTTAACTTTTTATTAGAAACTAGTTTTTCATCAAAAATTTCTTTCTCATTAATAATCTTATTACTATTAACAACTTGTTTTTTAGTTGAAACTTGAATAAATTAAATAACAATTTTTTTTTGTTTATTATAGGCAATTCTTTGACAATGATGTTTTGTTTAGAAAACTTTAACATGTTTAGTCTAATTTATTAGCAAAAACAAATATAGGATCTTTTGCGATATAGAAGACACCTATTTTAAATCAATTAATTAATAATACATTTTATTAGTAGCATCACCTATATTGCAAAAGATCATATATATATTTTATAATTTTTAAATTATAAGAATTCTGATTTAAAATATATTTTTTTAACTCAGTATACTTATTACTAATGTAGTATTCAATGTCAACCAGAATTATATTTATTTTTAAATAATAAACCTCATTAAAAATATATACTTTCTAACTAGTGTATTATATGTACATAAATAAAATTAATTGATATTGTTAATAATATTTTATTATAATAGAAATTTAATAAATTCTAACTACTCATGCAATTTTAAGATTTATAAAAAAAAACTTTATACAATTAACTATGCATGCCTGCTCTTTGTCAAAATGTCTCAAAAACTCCATAAAATAACAAGATTTAAAATTGTTTCAAGCCAAATCTTCTAGTATCGCAATAAAAATGTACATCTTGTTTATTTGGTAGATTTGAGTTTTTTCATTGAAATAATAAAATAATGAAGACATTTTTATAGTATAGAAAAATTATGAACTACAATAAGTTACTTTAAAATGTAGATTAATTTGATAAAAAAAAAGTAGTTACGGTTTAAAGTCAAGCGATTGTTCTATAATAATTTATAACAAGGAATTTGTGTAACATTATGTAACACGAAAAAATTAAATAGTGTAGATCAATATGATACTACATACATGTTTGATTTTGATAGTCGATTTACCACCCTAGTATAACGTGCTATATGTAAACGAAAGTATATAATAAAGGCTTCGAGCTCTCTGAAGAAAGTATGCAGAGTTCGTGCTTGTAATGAAGTTTGACCCTAATAATTCCCTGGCCTTCGCTACCTTGTAAAACCTACGATCATAAACACACCACTCGCCAATCTAACTGCCTCTTATCGACTAAGCCATTCGTAGGTTACATGACATATCCCATCGACAAGCGACTGACTCGCCGTTTCGCTCGTGTCAATATAAAAACGATTTGGTCGTATTTGGATTATTCTTTTTTTTTTTTTTTTTGCGATTTACGAATTAATTTTTTTTTATCTAACATAAGTAAAATGCGCAAATTAAAAATTTAAAGAGAATTAATTTTTTAATAAAGTGCAGGTTATATAAATTTTGATATATTTTTTTAAAAAAAACTTATAAAACGGAATTAAGAAATGGATGAGAACGATATTTCTGGCAACACTTCATTTTTAGTTATTAATTTAAACGCCAAAATATTAGGTCAACATTATGAACCATGTTAGATAAATTCAAATATCAGTGTAATGTAATAAAAATAAAATCACTCGAATATTTGTCTTTATGATTTTAGTCGCGACTGTTCAGTCCAAGGTGCTGCGAAAATATGAGTTCACAAATAAATGATATGGAAGAAAGAAGAATTCAGCTCTTTGAGTCATCATTCGAAAGAGGTAGAATTAAGTAAAAAAAGCATCTTTTAAGGAAGAATGTGTTGAACAGTAAGAAATGAAATATTGTTTGCTTTGCTTAAAGTAATTAATTTTAAAAAGTTTTTATTTTTTATATAAATATTTGTTTAGTTAATATCAAAAGCGATTTTGAATTTTTTTTTTATAGTTTATGACAGTCAAGTCTTACTCTGGGAATATAATTAGACGGTGATTGAAATTAGTGGCTTAACCTGTCACAGATTACAGACGTGCCGTGCCGTTCGATTAATTGGCAATCGATCGAACATGATCGTAAATGGACCTATCACATGTTCGATCGGATAGCAAATGATACGAGACAAAAGTTGCTTCGTACTTACGTATCGAGCAGCTAATAATTATTCGGTTAGTTTTTTTTATAAGGTATTCCAGGAATAATAATAAAAGCTGTAAAAATTTATAATTCACTTGACAATAAAACATCAATAAAATAAAATAAACCAAATTAACGATTAAAAAAATTGGTCTTAGAATGTTAAAAACCTGTAGCATTGTAAAGATATGAAATACTGTTTTATTTAAATGAAAAAAAGCTTAATAAAAAATTATATACAGTCAACACTTTCCATAACGAACTGATAGCTCTCGAACAAAATAAAAGGTTCGTTATAAAAAATTGCTATGTTTTATTAAGAATCTCATGGCACTCTTAAACCGAGCTATTGTGAAAATTCAAGATTTGAATTGGTTATATCCAAGAGTTGATTGTATATATACAGTATATCGATATAATATATTTACGTAAATATTATGAACTGTATCAATTTTTGCCAAATAATCAAAAAATAAACCTTTTTCTGCCAAATAACCCGAGTTATCTGACGGATAAAAATCTATTATTGCAAAATATGGTGTTTACAAATTTCAGTTAGAAATTTGAACATTCTACAAACACCCGTAGAAGAATCACGGGTAATAAGATAGTTATTCATAAAGGCTTTCTTTCAAGTTTCCGAAAACAGCCATGTCACCTAATAGTAAGAAAAATTCAACATAGTATTAAAATATTATTGATCCTTGATGACATCTAATTAGAAATTATTTCTTACCAGGAATAAATACACTATTTATATCATATTTGATAATTTGACGGCCAGGAAACAAAATGTTTGAGGCAGCAAAAACATTAATATGGTTAAGTTTCATTTTAATTTCGAGAGTTTTCTTTGTTAAATCATCAGATATTTTGCGTTCTATTTCTTCAAGTGACGATTTCTTTAGGAATGATAACAATTTATCTAAAAAATCCTTTTGTGCTGAATCTTTAGCGCTTATTGAAACAATCTTCTGAACTTGAGATTTATAAGGAAATTCTATAATTTGGGTTTTTGGATCTATGCTTAACGGACCAACAGTAAAATTATAATCAAGGGATAATTTTGCAATAGCATGTAGGGGTCTGTACACAAAACCAGTTTCATTTTCATCAGGATTAACCACAGTATTTATCTCTTCACAGACGAAGGTTTGATCCCAGTTTTCTTTAATGTCAAAATTAAGTGTTGTTAAATCACTTTCAGCCCTAAATTTCGAACCTTTTTTTATCGAAATATTATTTGTATGATGTTCCACCTTCACATCGATGTCGTTTTGATGAGGATAATTTTTATATATTTCGTGGCCTGATCTCACAGTTACTGTATCGCTTGAGAATGTCCAATCCTCATCTATTTCAAGCATCCAAATACCATTTTTAGGATCAAATGCATTTCTAATTCCTCTAGCTTTAATACCACCAGTAATATTTTTTGCAATAATTTCATCGAATATAATCCGAGAATTAACATACAATGCCGCCTCACGGTCACTTGGAAGTAAATAATATCCATAATGCTCTTCTATATTTTTTGGCATAATTTGTGGATTGTTTTTTTTCGAAGCATCGGTTTTAGTTATTATGTGAATCATAAATGCGTACTTATTTGTGTAAAAAGAAAATGATTCAGGTTCCAACGCATTAATGGTATTATCATTTCTGTACACCACCTCTCCGAGTGAATACTCAATAGGTGTTTCTCTATTTGTGAAATAATCATTTATCGAAGTTTCAATCCTACCAATGACTTGTGGATCTTTTGAGAATTTAATTTGAAACAACTTGAAAGCAGCACTCTCAAAACTAAGGATCACCTTTTGGGTTTTAAATTTTTTTCCTTCAGATGTTTTTACTAAACCTGCGATATTTTCAAGAGCGACATTTTCACCGATAATTTTTGCAGAATTATGTTCGATGTAATTTTTTGAATCTGTTGGTTCAATATCATCATTTTTTTTTTCATTTTGCCATCCAGCAAAATAAGATTGTCCGTCAGGACCATTTACTATATCATATTCTATTTTCATACGATTCGGAACTTTTTCGTCAAAAACAATATTCACAGGACCTAAATAAATTTCCATTTTGGTATGATTATATTTGCCCTTATTAAAAAAATCCGGAAAGGAAGCCGTTGGAACGGGAAGTTTGAATGGCATTGTTCGTTGATGACTGTCTATGGGAAGATTTTTTTCTTTTTCATATTGTTCCTTGAAAATTTTGTTGATTTTAGAAAGCTTTAAACATGAAATACAATCCCAATCTTCAAGCCAACTTTTGTTTTTTAATCTTTCTAGTAAATCTTTTGTACTAAGAGCAATGACCATTTTGCTTATTTTTATTTTTTATTTTTTTTATTTGTGAAGAAAATTATTCTACGTTTGAGAATTCAAAATGTTATCCCTTTTGATACCAAAATTCGTATGTACGTACGTACATTTTAATAAGTTTATATCGCGGGCAGAATATGCGTACATGCATTATTGATGGACGAGTCATTAGCAAAATTAGTTAGTCATTCGATAAGGCAATGCAATCATAAGTTTCAATAGTATATACGTATAATACAGGGCTGATACTAACCAGAATAAATCCAGTTAACAGTGTAAATAAATATCTGTACGTACATAAGTATGCGGTTTGCATATTGTAGTATAATTAATATCATGAAATATGTCACGTAAGGGAAAGCGTATAGATACATATATGTGAAGAAAAAGTTTGAATAGATTATAGATATGTGTTATTACTTCTCAATCAACTGTAAAGGTGACTTCTCCTCGTGATATGCGATAATTAATTTAATTCGGTCAGGTTAAATATGTACGTATTAGGAGTCTGCAAAAGTATGCAAAACTAGTACTAGTGCTGTGTCCAGTGTCAGCGCCTTTGTTCGTGCCTATGCATTATGAGCTGGGCAAATTTTGATGATGTAAATTGTATGTCATTCCATACTCAATTCACTAACATAAAATGGATTGTCAGAAAATTTACCTGTAAGACGATGTAAATTTATTATGCCGTGCACATTAGCACCATGCCAGTACTGGTGCCATCTTAGTACTGATGTTTAAAAAAGTGTCGGGTTTTTTTAGGCAGGCACTAAGCGTCTATACTCATGCCCGTGCCTGTTCCTTGTTAGGCAAGGGCAAGTGGCATGCAGAGTACATGCAGAGCCCTGGTATGTACGTACGTGCATATTTAGATTAGGTAAAATTAATTTGTTCAATTTAACCATTATGTAATCTATATAATTAATAAACAATGTGTCGTGAATAAAAAAACGGTCACACATATCTAGAGATGGGAAAAACGCATGTTGTATTAAATTCGCATGATATCGCATGATATAATTTTTTGATTTTACAGATATTGGATCAAATTTTTGCTCATCTTTTATGATTATTCATTTTCTTTTCGGATTTGTCGGATCAGTTGCATTCCTATTTCTTAATTTCGCCCGGTATTATACAATCTGGCCTAAATTATATAGACTTTAAATTTCATAAAAATGATTCGGAATCATGTGCATGAATGCACATCAATGCGCACCATTTCTACCCATATCATTATTATTTAATTATTATTTTCTCACGCAAATATAGCAAATATAATTGCATACCTAAAATATTCGCGCCTTTTAATGGAATTAGAAATTCATAGTTCCCTTAATTTTTTTTCTTTTTTTTACACTGCATTATCAACATACTCCAATTTTCCATTATTGTAATGCCCTGATTCTTTGAATTCATTATTAATTTTTTGAAGTTCATTTATTAAATCAATTATTTTTGATATTCGTTGTTTTTTATTTTGTCGGTTTATTGAAGAACCAAATTTAGCCATTTAACTATTAGTTGTTGCCGTTAGTCACTGTTTATAGTACCCTCTAAAAATATACCGAGAATAAGATCTGTGGGTATTGCTTTGAATATGATAAGTACTGTATATTCTAAAGTATAGTTCGTACTCGTTTTTTTGCGTACGGGTACTATTTAACGATATTCTTGGGTATTGTAAGCAGTGGTCAGTGATATAATATTGCATTACACTGCATTTTGCCCATCTCTATGCGTGAGAAATTAATAATAAAAAAATAACGAACATTATTAATGCTTAAAACTTGTTTAGATACAACGATAATAAAGTATCCGTATGTAAAGTCTGATTAATATATGAATTCTCGCATACTTCAGTACTTAGACCTTGTATTTTTTTTTTTTTTGAACAATCAGAAATTTAAGTACATTATTTTTCACTCAAAAGCAAGTGTTATTACTATACTGTAACATTTTCAGATGGATTCAAATTTCTACAACTAATCAAAAGCGTCAACCCTAAATTGAACTGCTGTATAAATAAATAAGTTACCCGGGTAATTGATTTACTTTACTGTGAATTATGAGAGTAATTTTTTTTATTAGAGCATGAAAAGTCGTTTCATAGGTAAAATGTTGAAATAGAAAAGCTTTTTCTTAATTTTATCAATCGTGATCGGCACAGAAAGTTGAGTGCCAGAAATACAGTAGTACCCTCCCGACTAAATTAAAAATGTTTAATTAAAATACCATATATCTATTTAATATAATCAAACTTTTTTACACATATATTTAAACTATACGCATTTTTTAAATATATACTATACGCTTTTCCTTTTTAATTGATCTTTCATGGTACTAGCTATATAGATATTACTATATGCAACCTTTATACATGCGTATAAGTATGATCCTCTTTATATATATGCCACTTATTTCGTACGAATTTGCATCAAAGGAGATATACATTACCAGATACAATCATCATCCCCTATCTTATTTGAATATTCCTTTTATTGAAAAAAAATAATATTACAATATGTCACTTAAATCTCAATTGAGAGTTGGTCAAACTATTAATCTTCTTAATGGAATCTATCCTTCTTTTAATGATCCTTTCAAATTATCAAGTGGGAGTGACAAAGAAACATTTCAGTTACCACAGGACGTTCTAAAGCCAAAGAATTATCTATATGATTTCACTATTTGTTTGACTGATAATTGGAACATATTATATAGTCATATTGTCGACATTTATTTGTCAGAAAGGATTGATGTGTCTCCAGTCACTGATGGTAATGCAAGATATTTTATTTATATCGATGAAAAAGAGACAATCGATTCTATTACTCCCTTTACTTTTTATCGTCAAAATAAGCTTGATGCTATTAAATTAAACCTTGCTAATTTGGCGGGAATTAACAATGAAGATGCTAGTTTAAATTCAAATGCTGGATACTTACTTGTCAAAATGTCGAGGATTAATCATGTTTGGACACAAAATAACTTGGATGATTTTCTTAGAAAGTCAACTTCCGATATTACTTCACCTACGACAAAAGAATTAATTGACTTTTTTTCTAAAAGTGGCACACATTGTATTTCTGAAATTACTTTTGGTAATTGCGTTTATCAAGTTTTTGTATATGAAAAAGATAAATACAACTTTGTAAAGTCCAGGATTCAGAAACATAAATTTGTGGATATTGCATCTTTTTTTGATATTCATGGGTATGTTAGAATCGGCAATAATAACGTAGGTTAGTATGGATAATCCTTTTCTCTACCAGTTATTCATATCGTATACAGTACTAACTAAAACTTACTTATTATGATCCAGGGTATATCAAATATGCAGGTGAATTGAAATTAGCTAGTCAAGATCCTTTACCGGATAACTTTAAAGAAACTATTAAGGATAAATTAATAAATGATCAAGGACAACCTTCTATATTTAAAATTAAACAATTAGAACTTTTAGAAAGTATTTTTATTAATACTACAGCAATTGGACTAAAACTTACTTCACTTATCGAATATCCTGATCCAAATCCTTTACGTTCGGAATGGTCGAACACTCTTGGTTCTGCTATTCTTCAAAAGTTTGATCTGCCTAATAAATTTCTTAAATTTAACGATAATCGGTGGTCTAATATTTATAAAGATTTCATCAGTCCATTTACATCAATTATTATAACTCCAACCTTAACAATTTCACAGGTATATATTAACTTGGATACTTTTCATAAAGACCATGATTTGATTTACATGAAACCAACAAGACTGATTTTATTAGCGGATATTATTCACATATCTACTGAAGTTGAATTACCAGGAGATGAAATTGTCATTGCTGCAAGGATGATATCTGTTACTAGTCCTAAATCAAAGATTATTATTTCTTCTAATATATATGAAAATTGTAAATTTTTTTTTGGTCAAGTTTCACCAGCGATAGTAATTCAACAAAAAAATTCCATTGAACGTATGACAATTTCGGAAAAAGCAACAGTTCTCATAGTTAACCAACCTGACCTCAATAACACTAACACTAATAACGAAATTCCTAGCTTAATAGATATTAAATACGTTTTAAATGATGAATACCTCAAAAATACTTTTTTTTCACAAATCAATTCCAGGATCATTAATGGTATTGAATTTCTTTTAATGGCAATTGAATCAATCTCTCATATCAGACTCAATGATGACAATGAACTTAAAATCGCTGCCAAAGAGTTTATTATATGGATTTTTAAAATCACTTCAACTCTTCAAAGTAAATGGAATGAGGATTCAATCAAAAATTTAAATCAGAGAGCGTCCATATTATATTATGATAGATTTCCTTCTCCGAATACCCCTCTCTTGGTTCCATTTCTCCGTTATCATAAATACAATGATACCATAAACTCATATCTGGATTCTATAAAATTCTATCAAATTGAGGCCGAAAAAACAATTAATAAATACAACGAAAAAATTCAAAAAATTCATGAAGCAGAAACACAAACCATTAACCTTAATTACATTAAAGAAATTTGTATGTTCCTCAAGAACCAAGCCATTATTGAATCGGAAAAGGAAGAAGGGGCTTCTATCATTTACTCTAAAAATTATCTTAAAATTGATCAAGATTTGACGGAAATTACGAATCAAATAAATAATTTACGAAATAAATTGGATGATGGAAAGAAGGATATGAAGTTTTCGTTCGATAAATTAATAGACGGTCTAGATGAATGGAATGTGGAAAAAGAGCAAGAGAAAATAACCAATATTATTTCATATATCAAGGGTATTGGCAAAGTTATTGTTGCTATGTTTACGTCAAATACTGAAGGCATAGGATCTGGTATGAAATTTTTAATTCTTTTAATTATCTATATTTGAGGTTAAAGAATTAAATGTACATTTTGATATGTTAGGCATAACTGACATAAAAGAAATCTCCGATAAAGTGGATAAAATCGTGAAAGTTATTCAGGAAGTCAACAAACTGGTGAAATTTCTCAATGAAACACAGGCTAATCCAACTCTTCCGACTCTGGACAATATTCCTACTCCAATAATGGCTTTGAATTGGGAAGAATGGACTATACATGTTAAAAGCGTGCTAAATCTTATTCCTGAGGATGAAAAAATGCTCACCAAATTAAAAGATGATTATTATTCATCCGTCAAAATTATGAAAATTCGTGGGATCGCTTTTGTAAATATGCTATATAAAAAATACGAATTAGAAAATAATAAAAAGCTTATTAACCTTCGAAAAGAAAGTGCAAAAAAGCAAAGCGTTGAATGGAAAAATATTGGTGAAATCTTTACAAGAAACGATAAAAAAGAAATCGAAAAATTTGTCAAAAGTAGTTTAGATTTTGGAAATCTTATTGAAACTTTCAAAGCCAGAGTCAATCTATTAACTGGACAACTTGTAAAGATTTTAATGGATCAAGATAAAGCTGCACAATATGAATACTTTACCAACCCTATATTATTAGAGAGTTACCAAATTGATAGTATTTTGGGCTTTGTTAGAAGTCAACATACATCGATGACAGAAAAATTAATTAATTTTCCTACATCACCAGTAGATTTAAAACAACCGTATATATATTCTATCGTTACATCTTCTAAAGTATTATCTGATGAGAGTTCTTCCGGCTTCTATTTTGATATTTCGACCAATGATCCGTTTTTTAAAGGCTATTATCGGATTAGAATTAATGAAATTCAAATTAATTTAACAGAAGATTCAATAACCACGAGTGATAAAAAGATCTATTTTGAAATTTACACAAATGCATCACCTTTTTACGACATTGGATATAATACAAATTCAAGGGAATATACAAAAATTTCTTATTTTCTTGATCATCAAGGTTTACTTTTCAGTGGATTTTATGATATTGAAAAAAAGAAATATGATGCTGAATTTATAAATCGAAATTTTCGTAATACATTTATACAAATTACACCATTTACTGGATGGCAAATTCGTATTCCAAGGGATCGCTCAACATATAATCAAAATCTCAAGTTTTTGTCAACTACAATCAGGATAAACGTTATTTTTAAATTAAATGTTATTATAACTATTTGAAATAATTGAATTGCAAAGAAGCATAAAAATAAGTTACCTAAGCGATTGATGAACCGTAAAAAAGAATTTTACAAATTCTAAAAATTTAAAATAATAGTTCATTAATAAAAAAAAAATTTTTTTAAATAAACATTCGAATTAATGCTTATGGTACTTAGCTTTGGCATCCCTAATAGCATAAAAATAATGCCAAATGTTAAAAGAGTATAAAAAAGTATTCCTATGTGTAATTTCGGTACCAAAGCCTAGGATGTACCGATATCACATCATAATCATACCCAACCAGTCTCTCTTGCATCTCCCTTACAAGAGTAGGTTGTTCTTCTACGTAGAAATAGAAATCAGATTTTAAAATTTTTGAAAGTTATTAAAAATCGATTCACTGGAATCGATCTTCTATAAACTTTTTAAAATTTTAAAAATTGATTTTTGTTTCTACGTATGAAGCTTTTCTTAATTTGCTAAAATTTCCTCTATCCCCAAAATTTTTCGACTGCTTTGCTTAAGGAAAAAACGTAACCAGCTCCTTCTTGAGAACCAGTAGACCTTAAACAGGGGAGATGAAAAATTTGGGTGTCAAAGGAAAAGAAGCAAACTAAGTAAGGAAAAACAATACGTTAGTATGTTAAATTTATATTGTTTTGATTATTACTACATCATTTACGTGTTTAATTTCCTTTTCGGGCCTGTATCACGTACATACCTATGTACAGTAAATTGATCTGCAATATATGATTTACCCTCTCCAATTTTTTTTTCCGGTTGCTGAATATCATTTCCATTTATGACTGTGAAACGTCATATTTATTGGATACCCCTTACTCATTATTAGGGTTCTGCAAGCGCCGGACACGTAATATTAAAAATGATCCCCAGGCCTGTGCCTGGTACTATGTTTTAATAGTGCACGTGCCTAGAACTTGCAGAATCCTACTCGTGATCTGCCACTTTATCTTTTAGACTGGAACAGTAATGAATGACCTTCGTCGAAAAATTTTATACGTATGTTCTATAAGTTCTAAATGTTCTAAACTTCTGTACTACTGAAATGTTTACGCACTCAAATGATCAGAACGTTTTGATTAAGCCTCAAGAGATTTTTTATCGTATTTAAAAAAATAATCTGAACTATTTATGTTAGGTTTTTTCGGTCCAAAATACCAGGATTAAAGTGTCGTTAAATTTTCATATTTAATTAATTAATAATGTTAGTGTTTAGGGTCCGGTAGACCTGGTCATGCCATCAACTCACCTTATGATCGATTCGTTAGTATGAGGATAGGCGTTGAAGCAAAGATGTTCGATTTTGTCAATCGTTTTACAAGCCCACAAACCGGTTTTACAAAAGGCTATAGACTATAACTGGAAATTAATCTTCCCATCAAAGTGTTGCAGTCACGTGTAGACCGAAATTCTTTAAAGCTCGTTTTGGTTAGGGTCTATGCCAATGTTAGGGTTAGGTGAGGTTTAATTAGGGATGGGACACTGCGCAGCCTGCGCAGTATTTCACTGCGCAGCCTGCGCAGGCATTTTTTGAGACTGCGCAGTGCAATTTTCATAATTCAGGCCAGCTGGCATAATTCTGGTCAGCATTATAATCCAGGCTTGAATTACCAATCGGAAATCGCATCACCTGATTAATAGAATCCATCGTTCATAATTCTAGTCAAACTTGCAGATCATTTAACCACATTTAAAGTTGGTTTGTTCTAGATCTGGCCAAATGATCTGCAAATTTGACCAGAATTATTAACGATGAACCAGATGATGCAAATCTACCGATGTGCAGAAAAAACAAAAACTGACTTCTAAACCATTAATTAAAAATGATGGGAGCTCAACTTTACTCATATGAAGTAGATGTTTTATATATATAAATGTGGAACCTAATGAGTAAAAGTCTCTAGAGACTGAGGCTGCGCAGTAGATTCAATTTTCCCATTTTAGGTATACCAAGAATGAATGTAATAAGTACCAGGAACGATGTAATGAGTGTATAGATGATATGCTTTTTGGATGGATTTGTCTGCAAAATCTAAGTTTGATTGATCTGCGTGATTTATTCATCAAATTTTGGTTATTTTTCACTCATGAATTCATCACGCATTTAGATCAACAGATATACAAAGTTAAGCGATATCATAGTTGCGATAACTAACGATAGTAAAGCAAAAATTTTAGACTAAAAATTGGTAATCTGATACGGATTAACTTGTCTATTTACCTGACATTTAATGATCGTTAAAGGCAATAGTAAAATAATCTTTTAGACAACCTGATAATCTAATAATTATTATATGATGTCTTGTAAAATTCTGTTTGATTATCTAATGCGAGTTAACCGCCTAGTAATGTACATCAAATGCTTTACAATATATTAATGCTAGATTAGTTCTTACTTGTATGTTACTTGGGCTATTTGTTAACTACTATATTTCTTTCATTTTGGGTTTCTACATAGTGTGATTATGTCATACAATTACCTTATATCAATGTAGTACTTTATAAATTAGAATTTGTTTTGTTACTCAGTTACAAGCATTTAATGTAACATAAATTTAATTCGGATACATGTATGTTTGTAATATTAAATATGTAATACAATATATATATATGTATATATGTATATGCATACTTATTATGTACTACTGGATATGTAATGTGTTTGAAATTTTCTATAAATAAATTATACGATCTAAATTTTTTATTTTGTGAACTTAAACTTTAAGATGCCACACAAAATCTGGAATCATTTTACAATACTTGAACAAACTAAAGAATATAAACAACCATGTGTTAAATGTAATTATTGTGGAAATAAATATAATGATAATGTTATTAGATGTGAAGAACATTTAAAAATATGTAAAAAATTAGATTCAACAATTAAACAACAATATTTTAATTCAGCATCAAAACAGTTTAAAACTAATAAAGTTAATGTAGCTAATCAAAATATATAAAATTTTTTAAATAGAAGTTCAGAAACTGAATAAAAAAATCTTGAATTAGCATTTGCTCAAGCTATTTTTCAATGTGGTTTACCATTTTTATTTTCAGAACCAGAACCAATTAAAGAGTTATTTAAAAAAATAAGACCTTTATTTAAATTACCTAATAGAAAAAAACTTTCAATTATTTTATTAGAAAAGGTCTATTTAGATACTAAAATTAAAATTGATAAAATGATTGAACAAGCAGAATTTATTAGTATTATTAGTGATGGCTAGTAAAATAATTTATATTTATATTTAAATATTGTTAAAAAAATTTATTATTGGATTTTTAATTATATATTATATATAATTGATTTTTATATATTATTTATAAAATCTATAATATATAAATAAAATTAAAAATTTAATAACTGATTTTTTTAATAGTATTTAGTTATATTTTTCTTATAATATAAATTATTTTTAAATATTAATAATTTAAAAAATAATTTTATTTAAAAATAATTTATTAAAAATAAAATAATAATATTTATTAATCTAATTTTTTATTTATTAATTAGGTCAAATTTAGTTTGTGAACATTGGACAAATTTTCTTCTTGCAATTTCTAATCCTGTTTTTATATCAGCAAAACCAACAGGTGAAATTTAACAAAATGGTATTAATATTGCAAATGATATAGAAGAGATTATTTGTTCTTATAATATAGAAAAAATTTCAGCTATTATTACAGATAATGCTTCTGTCATGAAAAAAGCCTGGAGTATTTTAGAAAAAAAATATCCAAAAATTATCTATTTAGGATGTTTGGCACATAGCATAAATTTACTTATTGGTGATATCATTAAATTAGATTGGGTACAAAATATATTATTAAATGCAATATTAGTTATAAAATTTTTTAAACAACATACAATTCCTGCAGCAATTTTGAAAAGATATCAAAAAACAAATTATGGTTCAAAATATAAAACACTTAAATTTCCAATTAAAACTAGATGGGGTTCTGTAGCAATATGTTTGGATTCTATTAAATCTAATCAATTAGCAATTAATTTAGCAGTAACAGAACTTATTAATCATCAAACATCTACTATTGATTTAGAAATTAAAAATATTGTTCAAGATAGTAATTTTTGGATTGAAATTCAAAATTTATTAGGTATTTTAAAAATTTTAGTAGATGGAATAACTAAATTTGAAAATGATACTTCAAAAATATCAGAATTTTATAAATGGTATGAGGATCTTGAAACAAATGAAAGTAAGAATTAAATTTTAGAATTTTTAATTAAAATTTTTACTAATATATAATTTTTAATATTCTAGAATATTTTAAATAAAATAAAAGAATTGCTATTTTCACCTCTTATTTTTGCTAATGCCACCCTTCAAAATACATAAAAATGCTCCGGAAGAGATATTATTATTAAGTAAATCTCCTTTTTGGCATTAATTAAAGTTGTTCATTAGACCTTTCCGGTTCTAATGATGGTAAAATTATTAAAATCAGACCAGTAGTTCTTTTTTAAAATTAGATTAAAGATTATAAACTTTAGATATAAATATTGTAAGAACTACCAGTTCAAATTTAGTGATTTTACCATCATTAGAACCGGAAAACCCTAATGAATAACTTTGATTAATACCAAAAAGAAGATTTACTTAATAATAATATCTCTTCCGGAGCACTTTTATGTATTTTGAAAGTGTTATTAACAAAAATGAGTGATGAAAATAAAAATTCTTTAAAATAATTATTAAAATATTTGTTTTATTAAAAAATTTTAATAAGTCTAAAATTATTAAAACTTAATTATAAAATTCTAAAATTAGTATTATTTTAGATATTTAAAAATTAGTTTATATTTAAAATAATATATATTATTAATAATTTTAGAATTTTATAATTAAAATTTAATAATTTTAAACTTATTAAAATTGTTTTATTAAGATTAATATTTTGATAATTATTTTATTTAAAATATTTTAGTAAATTAAAAGATATTTATTATTAAATTTTAACTATTTATAAATATATAT